ACCGCCCCGGCCCCTTTTCCCAGCCGCAGCAAACGCGGCCGGCTCGCTGGGCTGGCGGGGCCTGGGCTTCCAGCGGAAGACCGCGCTCGCCCCGCGGGAGGAAGCGGCTGGTCTCTGAGCCCCCCCCCCCCCCCCGCGGCCGCGCCTGGCCCCGCGTACGCTGCGCTGGCGGCGCAAAGGGCTGGGGCCCTGGGCCAGGGGCTGAGCGGCACTGGACAATGCTCCGGGGCCCGGGGAGAGCCAGCAGCACCCCGCTGCCCCAGCCCTGGGCCGCGGCAGTACCGCGGGATTCCGCGGCTCCCCCAAGTTTCTTTCCCTCTCCGGGGCGTTAGGGGAGCCTGGCCCGCGCATCTCCCACCTGCGGAGCTGCCAGAGGAGCGCGCCCCGCGTGCGCCTTCCTGCAGCCTGTGCACCGGGCGGCTCAGCCGGCTGTCCCCGGGGGCGGGCGGGCGCTTGGCTGCCCGGGGAGGGCAGGGCTGCCGGAGAAGAGACACTAATGCAGCGCAAGGGCGGAGAGAGCCCGCTACGCCCCCGGAGGGGGGTAACCCTGGTGGGAGCCGGGGGCTGCCCCTCGCTGGCACGGGGGCCTTCTCTTGCACGCGCTGCGCCAGAACACCTCTTAAAATACCCCGCCGGGGCAGCGCGGACCTTGCGCCGGGCGCAGCAGCCAAGCGAAAATGAAACCAGCCGGGAGCCGGCCGGAGCCCGGGTCAGTGTCTCTGCCCGGGATGTGACCTCTTCTCCCCACCGCGCTTCAGCCTTTGCGGAGTCAAGGCGGGGAGTCCTCTCCCCCCAGCTGGCGGGGGCTCCGCGGGCAGCTCCGGGCCCCGGCTGTTTTGCTGGGAGTCGCCGCGAGCTCCCAGGCGGGAAGGGGGTTGGTAACTCCGGTTTCTTGCTGTTCCTTTGACGTTTCCAGGGCCAGGATTTGACTCGGCAACGCAGGAAGGAAACAGTCCCAGTCGCTCCTGTTTTGGACTCTCTGGCCCGCAGCGAGAAGACTCCGGAGGAGGAAAGACCCGGGGCCCACCCGGAGCTGGCTGAAGGCTTCGAGTCACGCCGCCTGGTTGGAATCCTTTGCAGGTGACCTTTGTACGTGAGCGCCCCGGCAAGAGCAGGGCCTCCCTTCTCCGTCCTCCTGCCCCCTCCCCGGGCATCTCCCGGCGGTGCCTGGCTCTTCCCCTGCCCAAATCTACCCCCCAAGTGCCCAGCGCCCCCCTTCCCAGGCCAGTAAACGTGTCTCCTGCTGGGACCTCCAGGAGAAAAGCCGCATTGTGTGGCCCTTTCTACCTCTCCGCCACTGCGCACAGATGCTGACAGCTACAATAATACAGGTTTCGCTCCTTTCACTCAGCGGAGCAGCAAAGGGAGGTTAATGAGGACACAGCTAAACAGCCCAGCCCAGGCCCTGCTTTTCTTTGGGCCCGCAGTACAGGAAGATTTGAATACAAAGGACAGATTTCTGGGTGCCCCGCGGGGAGCTCACGGGGGAGGTTTTCAGTCTGTCTTGTGCGTTCCGGGACCCAGACTTGGGACGTTCAAAGCCAGACCCCAGGCCCCGCGAGGGGGAGGGGAGGGGAGGGGAGGCTGGGCTACAAACCGGGGTTGAGCGAGCCCCGGGTCTTTCACCAGGCAAATCGGCAGGCTGCGTCCTGTATCAGTGCCCTGGCAAAGGGGTCCGGTGAGGCGTTCGGGGGCTTGTTTGCACAGTCAGCTTTCCGTGTGCCAGCCGCTTGATGTCCTCCGCCCTCCAGGAGCCGTGTGCTCCGGGCTCCCAGCTCCCACGGAGCTGGAAACCCCGCTGCCTTGTGCCCGGATTGCCTGCGAGGGGCTGGAGAGGAGCCGCCAGGCCCTTGGGACCCGGGTTTACAGGCACCCAGAGAGGCAGACCAATGCCTGCCAGGCGCCCAATGCAGTGATGGTGAGACGGGCGGACTCCAGACCAGCGAGGTCATGGAGCGATCCCCCAGCTCCGGCAGCCTCCATCTCCCGTGCCAGGCCGCCGGGTGCAGAACCTGCAGCCGGAATCCAGAGAAGGAGCCTTAAACTACCGCTGAGGTGCAGCATCTCTGCTGCAGGCCCTGCAAGGTCCTGCTCTCTGGTCCCACCCAGGCCTCCGCCACAGCGCTTTGCGGCGCCCGCCGGGCGAGATGCCGAGGTGGTGGCCCGTGGCGCGCAGGAATGAGGCAGCCCGGCAGCCCCACTCCGACACCCCGGGACGCAAACCGGCACCAGAACAATAACCAAGCGGCGCGCTTGGCAGGCGCTGGCAACGGGAGCCGCTTCCCGTCCAGACAGAGCCCGAAACGTGGGCTCGCTAGGAGAAAGCATCACCCCAGCCCCTGGCACAGTGCTCACCTGCAGGCGGCGCCGGCTGGACCATCGCCCCGGCCACACCACGGGGGGAAGCGGGCCAGGGTCAGGTTGACCTTGTGATCACCACGCAATGGTGTAACTCAGGCAAACCCAAGGGCTGCCCCTGCTCAGCGCCGGGGACAAACAGCTGCTGGGCTGGGCTGGCTCCGGTTCGGGAGCACAGCGCTGCGCTGCGCGGCAAAGCCAAGCAAACGCGCTCTTGGGACGGGCCGCGGCGCGCAGGGCGATTCGGCGGCCAGGGTGCGCCGCAGACACCGGCAGGGGGCAGCAAACCACCCCGGGTTTAAATGCCCAGGTTCAGCCCCAGGCCCGCTGCGGAGAACAGGGGCGAGTGAAGCCGGGGGTGCTGCGGGCAGGCCCAATGCAGGGCCCGCCTCGCAGCTTTGTTCCGGTTCTGAGTCCGGCCCATTTACACGCGGCTCAGCCCCACTCAGACGGGTGCGCACCGAGACCCACGGGGGGGGGCAGGATGTTCTGGGGCGGCGTGGGGCAGCCGGACAAGAGACGCCCTTTGCGGGGGGGGGGGGGGGCCTGGCTGCTTTCATCCACGCCCCTCACCCCCAGCGAAGGCAGAACCAGCTGCCCCTGCGGAGTGTCGGTGGGAAACAACTCCTCCACTCACCCCCTCCGCCAGGAGCCCCGGGAGTTGCCTAGCAATCTGGACATTCATTTCCTAAATCGATTCGTGCATGTTAATGCCTGGCCGATAGATGGTTTGCAGAGACGGTGTATGGAAGCGGCTGCAGGCTGGGTTCCCATCCAGCGCTGCTGGGGCAGGAGAGCCGGGGGTTCCCGTGCGGAGGGACCCGCTCCCAGGGGCGGGATGGAGCCGGCCCGTCCCAGCCAGAGCCTAGAGATGCGGGGCTGGGTTTGCCTCGTGGGTGCGAAGCCGAGAAGCAGCCGCTGGTGTTGCGGGAGGGACGCGGGCCCTCCCCGCGGCGGGGAAGTCAGGTCCGGCGGGTGCCGGGGCGAGGGCGACGCGGGGCTCGTTCGGACGCCAGCGCCGGGGGTCGCGCATCCAGGCAGGGGATGGGAGGTCCACACCCGCCCCGCGCCGGGCACCTTCCCTGCAGCAGCGGGCGCCAGGGCAGGGCAGGCTCCTGGCTGTTCAACAGCGCAAGTTCCTGTCCTCTCCCCCCCGCCCAGGAACAGCCAGTACCGGGGGCTTCGGGCTAAGGGACGGCGAGCCCACGTGCAGGGGCAGGCGGTCGGGACCGAGCCCCCGTCCCCCCGGGAATCACGCGGGGAGAGAGATGTGCCAGCTAGAAACAAGCAAGGTGGAGATTGCAGGGGGGACATAAGAAGGACACGGTTCTATTTACAAAGTATATATTTAAACTCACATAAAAAGCAGGTATTATGTAGACATTCACGGTTGGCAGAAGACACGTATTTAAGCTTCACTTCTGAGACTGAGATTTAGCCAGATTTGTTTTTACAAGTCTTAGAATTAAATAACACACATACACACACACATCCAATATAGCTGTAGATATGTACATACACACAGGTATGTCTAGCTTTCTAGATGTATATATGTGCGTATCTAGACACATATATATTTATACAGGTCTGGAGTGAAGAATGCCAAATTAAGATCACACCCTGACTTTTAGAATGAGGCGGGAGCTGCATTGTGATCTCTTGAACAAGGGGAGGTATTTTCCAGTGTTCAGGTCTATAGGGTAGAGGACAGGTAGACAAATCCTCATTATCAGACACATGGTAACAGACATGTCCCATGTAGGTTGGACCTGAAAACAGCATCAAGATTGTTACATTCCTTGCTTCAGTTCTTTGTACAAACTAAGTTTAAAATCTTGGTTTTACAAAATATTATATTAAAAAAACACACAAGCAGCGCCCTGTGTACAGCTTAACCAGAGTCCCCTTGTTCATTTGACTGGATGAAGGCGAAAGTCCCAAAGATGGAAGGGAAAGGGCTCTAAAGAGGTAGGAGGTAAAATTATCCAGAATGGGCCTAAGAGCAGCAAAGGCTACTGCTTGTACTCCTGCCCCTTCCTCTTCCCATCAGGCCCCATGTGTTTTCATCCTCTGTGCAGTCCCCACATTAAGAAGCATTAAGACCTTCACTGAGCCAATCAGAGAAGATAGGAAAGGCCAGGCTCCTCTAGCCGAGGCCCTTCGGGGCGGCTGGACAGTTTTGTGCTTTTGAACCAACAAAGGTGCTTAAACCAATCTATGTTAGGAGTGGAGAGCACCTGTTACACCTTAAAAAACAACCCCAACACCTATCCCCTTCTCCCATAACAGGCTCAAAAAAAATCAACCTCTCCCTTAACGGGGTAAAGTTGGAATATGGAGTTCAGAGAGAGAGAAAAACCACTTCTAGAATCCCCATTCGCTTTCTGCAAGGTAGCAAAAGATTTCTGGTCTCCGCTAGTGGATGGAAACCGCGGCATTTTGTTCAGTCATTAAATCTCACTAAGCCTGGAGCAAAACCAAACCAAACCATTCACATATGCCTTCCAAAGAGAAGGGTGTGAACAAATACTAACAGCCACCTGTGTCAGCATCACCTACTTTGTGCCTAGTAGTAGATCTCCTCTCAGCCATTGTGAAACTGGCATAAGACAGGGAGAATATTTATTTTCCTCTAACCCCCAAAAGTGACTCTGGAATTCGTTGGGGGAGATGTGGATATTGTAGAACACTGTATCTGGAGTCTCCCAGCAGTCCAAAGGGAACTGTGGCCTGGAAAAAAAGCAACACTTTCTATAATAACATGAGCATCTAAATATGGGCAGTGACACTTTATCCTCCCAAACTTTTCTGGCATTTCAGGAATGTAAACAGATTTTTTTTTAAGTGGGTGGGGGAAAGAATCAAGCAAACAGACAAAATGAAAACAGCTTCTCAGCTCAGTTCTGTCTCCCATAACTGCTATGACAATTCTATTAAAGTGCATTTCAGTATCACTCCTTTTAGGAATCTTAAACATACAAACCTCCTCTTCATTGGCAAGAAGAGGTAATTCAAGTTAATACTTCACTAGAACAACTTTTAGTCTTTTTATGGACTTCTGCTTTTTTTGATTTTATACCAACTTTTTTTTTTTTTTAATTGGAAACAAAACCCAACAATACTGTAAATTCAAGTGCTTATTTCAGCTGTCCAGACTGACAGGTCTGGATACAGCACACTTGATTGTACAAGCAACACCTTATATCACAATCAAGAAATCAGGGCATTTTGCCCTGAAAGGGATACAACTTCCCCACGCATCATCCAGAGCATCTTATGAAAAAATCATAATTAATAAAACCCCAAAACATAATTAGCTACAAACATCATTCATTATATACACTGGCTCCTGCAACAGATACATGAACTCGTTAGTTCTCAGTTTTATTGTCCTTTCTAAGAACAACTGAGCAGTCACTGTTCAGTCTCCATTTAAATAAAACAACTTAGAGTTGAAATATATATATATATATAGATATATATATATAGGTATTTTTTCTTAAATAACATATTTACATCTAATAGAAAATATAACTCTAGAGATAATCTTTCAATGAAACAGAAAACTAGAGAAAAAAAAAGAATGCAAGCAGAAAGAATTAAGACAGTTTCTAGGTCCTGTCCTGGAAAAAAAAAAACCACCAAGCTCTAACCAAGCCTTTATCTCTCTGGATCTATCCTGCAAACACTCATCGCTTTTCTTTAAAGAATCCTTGGTCCGTGCTGCTCTCTTTAATTGTAACGGTCAAAAAGTTAGATGTCACATCAGTCACCACCACTTTCTCCAGGTTGTTGAGAGATGGGCTCCAGGACTCCTCTTCCGGGTCCCCCAGAATCCTGGAGACAGGGATTCTGGCAATGAGGGAGGGTCTGCCAGACTGAGTCCCCACACTGTCTCTGTACAAGGTTCCCACAGAGCCCTGGTTTGCGGAGCTGTGCATGATCTTAGGGCCGCCAGGATCCAATCCATCTTGCCCCTTGGGGTCCAAAAAGTCTGACCTATGCTTGGTGACCCTGGGTGGGTAAGTCTCTGAGGCTCCCAGCTTCATGCCAGCCTCTACTCTATTGGGGCTGGACATGGCACCAGAGAGGTCAGGCTCCTGCCTCCTGGCTAGCTGGATCACACTGTGTCCTGAGCCAAACTTCGCTACCCCAGGAACGGCCTCCTCTATTTTCCGGGTTTTGAGGTAGTCCCCCATCTTGTCCCCTGGCTCACATAATTTCCTCTTGGAGACATCCAGAGCCTCTGGCAAGTCCTTGTAATGCTCTTTCCTAGGCTTTGGGCCTCTCTTTTTAGGGATCTCTCCAGGTTTCTCTTCCATTCTCCCAACCCGGTCCCGGATGCTCTCACCCCTCAAGGTGCTGGGACTGCCCTGGGCGGGCAGAGCTATGTTTCTCAGTCCTTCCCTAGCCCGGGAAGTGGAGCCCAGCTCCTGGGGTGATCTACCAGGATATGGCACCCGGATCCCCCTGGCAGAGTCACTGCGGAATTCATAGGTTTTGGCTTTTGCTTTTGCCTGTGCCTGCAAAGAAGATAAATCAACCGGTGACTTTATTATCCTGCCATTCGGCTCCATAATTACAACTTCCCAGATAAGCAATGGCCTTTCCACAAGCATTCCCCATCAGTGCTGGAGCCGGATCCTGCTATAAGCATGCTGGTTCTGATGCTCCCCATTGCAGCATGCAGCCCTCTCCACTCACCAACTAAACAATGTCAATGCACACACTAGGCTCCTGCCTCCTTACCTTTAACAGGAAGGTTTTGGGTTTGGGGCCTCGCTTTTTGGGGCCGTATAGCTCCATTTCTCGTTCCCTAGAGGTATTAAAAAAAAAAACAGTTTCAATTCAGCATTGCTACAAGACAGAGCAACGTTTTTATAAGTGTGATGTATATGACTAGCAAAGGCCTTGTACCTTTCCTCAAAGGCTGCAAGCAGCCGGGCATCCAGAATGTTTTCCTCGGGTTCCCAGGTGCTGTACCTATCAGGACATGCACAGAGATTGAGAAACAGTGTCAGCTATGAGTGAGGGGGGACAGGATATATAAAATTAAAAAACAAAACAGGATCTAGCTTTTCTTTCTACTACAGTGCAAAATAAATAATAACCACCATCTTCTGAGTATTTGCTAGGCTGCATAATTGTATATATAACCTACTTACTTCTGAGACCAGCCCTTCCATTTCACGAGATATTCCATGCGCCCCTGCAGTTGCACAGAGAGAAAATAAATAGGCATGGGGGGAATCAAGATAGATGCATGCAATAAAAATATGCATGTAGCCACATGCATGCAACCAAATAAGCCTGCACCAATGGGCATGTGTCAAATATATGCAAACGGCCAAATGCATGGAACAAAAAATATGCGAGCAGCAAATCCATGCAGCCAAACAGGGCTGCAGCAAAATGCATCTGGCAAAAATATGCATGCAGCCAAGCGCATGCAGCAAAGCAGGCCGGGGTGCAAATGGGCATGCAGGGCAAAAAATCCCCCGCTGCAATGTGTGCAGGTCCAGGGGCAGAGGCAGCTCTGAGCCGCAGCCGCGAATGGGGGCAGCTGGGGGAGGGAGCAGGGCTGCTCTCCGGCCTCCCGCATGCCTGGGGGGCTGCATGCACGGGGCGGGGGGGCCCGGGAGACACCTACTTTGCGGATGCGGCGCTTGAGCAGGGCCTCGGCCGCGAACACCCGCTCCCCGACGGCGGAAAGCTCCATGTTTACTCGGCCGCGGGCAGCAGAGAAGCAGCAGCCAGCGCAGCCCAGACCATAATACTCCGCCCGCTGACGTCAGCCCTTCCCGTGGCCCCCCTCCCGCCCCCCCGCTCTCGGCCCTCCCCCCGCACTTGTTGCTGGCGGAGCCGGTGGAATATTCCGCCTGCACCGCATTGGCCAGGGCCCGGCCCCGCCTCCTCCCCCCCC